CAGAGCATGGATGCTTTGCACTGCTGAACGCAGGGAGCCCCAAAGGACTGCAGTGCAGTCCCAGAGCGTGGGCTCCACTTCCATGCTTGTCATAGGATTTTTATTTTTATTTCTCACCTAATGAAATCTTATGGAAAAGCAGAAAAATGGAAGGAGAGGATGGATCTTCTAAAGGCTGGATCTTCTGTAATTTAGAAAGAAGATCTGACTTCATTCATGTGTGTGCATGTGTTTACGTAGGTGGCACAGTGGACATCACAGTACACGAGATCCAAGAAAACCGTTGCCTGAAAGAGCTACACAAGGCGTCTGGAGGTGGATGGGGAGGCAACAGAGTGGATGAAAACTTCAGTATATTCCTCAGGGAGGTATTTGATGATGGTGTATGGGATGAATATGTAAAGAGCTACCCTATCGAATTGCAACAGATGATGTACGACTTCAGTTTCCAGAAATGCTCTGCTGACAGGGAGGCAATCTATTTGCGTTGCTACTACAATTTGACCAAACTTGCAGAAAGAAAGAAGGACATCTCCCACTTCTTCAAAAAAGCAACAGGAGCTGTGTGGTGTGATGGGATGATCATGATTACACATGAGAAAATGAAAAGCTTTTTTGAATATAGCATCAAAAAAATTATTGCTGCTTTGAGAGAAATCCTTGCCAAGCCTGAGATGGCCAAGGTCCAGTACATTTTGCTTGTGGGAGGCTTCGCATCTAGCGTCATTCTGAGACATGAGGTCAGGCAGGCTTTTAGTAAGAAGTGTCATGTATTTTGTCCACTAGAGGCCCAGCTTGCCATTGCAAAAGGGGCTGTTTTATTTGGAATCAATCCAAAAATTGTTACCTCAAGAATCAGTGCTCGGACATATGGTCTATGTGTAAATATGGACTTTGATGCAGCTATCCATGACATTCGTAAACGAAGAGTCTCAAAAGCTGATGGCTATGTCTATTGCAAAGATCTCTTCAAGAAATTGGTGGGAACTGGGGAGTCAGTGAGTATAAATGAAGCTGCCCAATATATTTTCACACCAACAGAACCAGATCAGACAAATGCAGTGTTTACTTTTTATTCCACAGAAAAGCAGGATGCTCAGTATGTAGATGAGGAAGGGCTGGAACTGCTTGGTTCATGCACAGTACCAATGCCAGACACAAAGTTAGGGAGGAAACGCAAACTGGTTCTGCATATTAAGTTTGGCCTTACTGAATTTAAAGCCACAGCTACTGACGTTACTTCCAAACAAAGTCGGACAATTACAATAGATTTTTTATCAGTCTAAATACTTGAGTCTTAGAGCAGCACGGCCTAAATGGGAGGTGCCAGCTGCCACAATGGAAAGGCAAATGGACCATGAAGTCCATCATCTGTCCTTCTTCTCACACAAGTAAAACACTTTGCAATTCTGATTCCCTGGTTCCTTCCATTCTTCCGTACTACCAGTAGAATCACCTGCACCTTGTCAGTATGTGATACAATGCTTCTCAACTGATGTCTAACTCCCACAAGTACCAGCCCATATCTGTTTCTTTTAGCCTAAAGTCCTTCAGCCACATCATATGATCATCATCATAGAATCATCATAGAATGTCTTGAGTTGGAAGGGACTCTAAGGATCATCAAGTTCCAAGCCTCCTGCCACAGGAAGGGCCACCAATCTCCAGATCTGGCACTAGATCAGGTTGCCCAGGGCCCCATCCAACCTAGCCTTGAACACCTCCAGGGACAGAGTGTCCACAACCTCTCTGGGCAGCCTGTTCCAGCAGCTCACCACTCTGTCTGTAAAGAACTTCCCCCTGACATCCAACCTAAACCTTCACTCCTTAAGCTTAAAACCATTTCTCCTTGTCCTATCACTGTCTACCCTTGTAAAAAGTTGATTCCCCTCCTGTTTATAATCCCCTTTTAAATACTGGAAGGCTTGGAAGACTGGAATACTGCAACAAGATCTCCACACAATCTTTTTTTCTCCAGGCTGAGCAAGCTCAGCTCCCTTAGCCTGTCTTTGTAGTGGAGGTGGCCTCCTCTGGATCATCTCCAACAATTTCACATCTTTCCTGTACTGGGGGCCTCAGATCTGGACTCAGTGCTTCAAATGGGGCCTCACAAGGGCGGAGTAGAGAGGGACAATCACTTCCCTGTCCCTCTGGCAACCCCTATTCTGATTATAATCATAACATGATTATAATATGATCATAACATCATGTAGTAGATTGGGACTTAAAGAATTACTGTCGATTTTTCTGGATACTTGGTTCTCAGAAGAGAAAAACTACATACCCCAGAAAACTTTCACTGTTCCTTTTCTGTTGTCTGTTTAGAGAGAAAGATAAAACTGCTCGCAAGTCACAAGATTGCCTTCTTTTACTGCTTATCTATGTGGTGTGTACTCCCTAGCCATCTCGCCTTCAGCATTAGAGTAAGGCCTTTGGTTTTGGACACTCTCCAGGAATCTTAGAAGCGATCATGGACTGGCCTGAAGGTAAAAAGTTTGAAACATCATCAGAAAAGATACCACATGCCAAAGAGGCCCCACCATACAATGAATTATCAGAAAATAAAAAGAAATCTGCCCTGTTCACTAATGGATCATGTCATATTGTGAGGAAGCATTGCAGATGGAAATCTGCTGTGTGGAGCCCTACATGACAAGTTGCAGAGGCCACTGAAAGAAAAGGAGAATCAAGTCAATCTGCAGAGGTAAAAGCTGCCAGCTGGCCTTAGATGTAGCTCAATGGGAGAGGTGGCCAATACTGTATATTTATACTGACGCATGGATGGTGGCAAATGCCCTACAGGGGTGGTTACAGCAGTGGGAACAAAACAACTGGCAAGGAAGGAATAAACCTCTTTTGGCTGCTGAACTGTGGAAAGACATTGCTGCCCAAATAAAGAATATGGCAGAAAAGGTGCATCATGTAGATGCTCATGTACCCAAGAATTGGGCTACTGAAGAACAACAAATTAACCACCAGGTAGATCAAGCTGCCAGAATTGAGGCGTCTCAAATAAAGTTGGACTGGCAACACAAAGGTGAATTATTTCTAGCTTGGTGGGCCCGTGAGACCTTGGGCCATGAAGGAAGAGATGCAAAATATAGGTGGATTAGAGACCAAGGGATGGGCTTAATTATGGACACTATTGCACAGGTTTTTCATGACTGTGACATATGTACCACAATTAAACAAGCCAAGAGGATGAATCCTCTCTAGGGGGAAGGGTGATGGCAAAAGTATAAATATGGGAAGGTTTGGCAGGTTGATTATATCACCTTGCCATGATCTCGCAATGATAAGCGTTATGTGTTTACCATGGTGGAAGCAACCACTGGGTGGCTTGAAACATGTGTAGTTTCATGCTACACATGCCCCATGCTACCACCCGAAATGCCATATTAGGTCTTGAGAAACAAGTCCTATGGCAACGCGGCACTCCAGAAAGAATTGAATCAAACAATGGGACTCATTTCAGAAATTCCCTTGTAAATACTTGGGCCAAAGATCATGGCATTGAATGGATTTATCATATTCCCTATCGTGCACCAGTTTCTGGTAAAATTGAGCGATACAATGGATTGTTAAAAACAATGTTGAAAGCAGTGGGTGGGAAACATTTGGTAGAGCATTGGGAAACACCTGGTTTGTCAATACCCGAGGATCTATCAGTCGTGATGATCCTCCCCAGTTCAGCTCTCTACATACTGTAGAGGGAGAAAAGAGAATGCTGGGAAAAATGGTTTGGGTCTTTCCAGTTTCTGCAAAGGGCAAACCTCTCCGTGGGACTGTTTTTGCTCAGGAGCCTGGGTCCGCTTGGTGGGTGATGCAGAAAAATGGGGATGTTCAGTGTGTACCATAAGGGAATTTGATATTGGGGGAGCGCAGTCAGTAATTCCATGTATATATATGTGTGTGTGTGTGTGTGTTTGTGTATGTATGTATGCGCATGTGTTTAATGCTTGTTGGTTATTTTTTGTTTGTATATATTAAGCACGATGTAGTGATGTGGAATAAGGGGTGGAATGTCATGGTTTTATGATTTTTGGTTATCAATATTCCACATCATAACATCATGTAGTGTGCTGGGAGTTAAAGAGTTAATGCTCCAATTCTGTGTACCTGTCCAAAAGAGAAGAACTACATCCACCAGAGGACTTTTCACTGTTCTGTTACTGTTTCCACTGGGAGAGATAAAAACCATTCAGATCATTTGACCTTCCTTTATTCTCTTCTGCTTGGCCCGACTAGACGTCTCACTTCAGCATTAGAGTAATGCCTTTGGCTTTCAGACACTTTAATTTAATTGTTTTATTAGCTTCAGTTCTAATCTGTTATATTATAGTGTGCTGTCTTACATTCTGATATCTTAGTAAATTTGTTTTATTTTCAAAACAAAATCTGTTTTGTTTTTGATCCATCTCCCTATCCTTTTTCCCCTTTATCCCTTTTTCCCTTTACTGGGTGTTGGTCCATGGGTCCCCCCACCCCGCTAGTCACGGAACCGGGCCGAACCACCCAGAAACCATTGACAAAAGGGTGCTTGGCTCTAGCGAAGCCCTTGGAGGCAAGTAATACCTGAGTTTCTCGAAGAGCAGATGTGGTGGCCTAGCACGCAGTAGCAGGGCACGCTGACATACATGGGGTTATGAGGTGGAGCTGGAGCAACCCGTGCCTTCTTCCCCACCGCCACAGAGCTGTGAATTTGTAAGGACCTCAGTGCATTGCTCTCACCTCTACCAGGAAAAAGAAAAGGAAAAGCACAAGGTGTGAGATAAGAGTTCAGAAATAGGCCACATACACTATCTTGTCCCTGCACTAAGCACTTCTACATTCTCTCAGCATTTCAAATGACCCCCTCAGCAGAGCTGTGATAGAGCAGTGAGGCACTGGCACAGGTTGCACAGACAGGTGGTGGATGCCCTGTCCCTGGAGACACCCAAGGTCAGACTAGAGGGGCTCTGAGCACCCTGATTGAGCTGTGGGTGTCCCTGCTCATTGCAGGGGAGTTGGACCAGATGGCCTTTGGAGGTTCCTTCCAACTCAAATGATTCTTTGATAGTTCTATTACATACCTTCAGGAGGTCTCTGTAGGGTAGCAGCCATCCCTTTCCATCTGCCCCAGGCACCGGGCTGGCCTTGCTCACTGTGCCCACTCTTTCCTTCCCCCACACCATCCCAAACAATGAGGCTTTGTCTCCGCACGCATCCAGCAGTGGTGGTTCCTTAGGCCCCTAAGCCCTATTTTGTGTGCGTGCTCTGAGCTTAACCAGCACATTCCTGCCAGAGGTTAAGCCTGGGCACCATGTGGATAATCCAGGGTTTTTTGGCTTCCTTCTCCCAGTGACAGTCATGATAATGAGCCCATGTGTGTCAACCGTTCTCCTGCCCCTTACCTCTTCCTCTCTTCCAAGCCTGTAGGGCTCAGGGACAGAACAGGATCATAGCTACAAGGCAGGAGAATTAGGGTGGCCAACAGGAGGAAAGGTCCTGCTGCAGGCCCAGCATCCTGTACTGGTTCATCTGCTACCTTAGAATGCCACAGCCCTTCAAGGTACCACAGTCTGGCTGTCCACAGTTACTTTGCCATCACCATCAACGTATATCATCCAGCCTCAATGGTGTCTGCCATCTGCCTGGTCCCAAGGCTAAAGTGTGAGCCACAGCAGAGCAGATGGTTGTGAGGAAAGAAGTGGCCTTGGCACGAGAGTAGGACTGGAGTGAGTTGCCAGAGCTGGAAAGAGGATCTTCAGTGAGCAGGAGCCAGAAGGGCTGGAAGCTGGGATGGCAGGACACCAGGGTTCCCCGAGCACAGCAACATTCTCAGGAACAGAGCAGGAAAATCAAAGAAAGAGGGGCCAAGCACTGGCTTAGGTAGGGGGTAGGAAGGGAGGAGAGTGAACCTTTTTCTTCCCCACTGAAAATCCCCTATTTTCCCTTATCTCCTGGACATTAAGTTCTTTGCTCTGGCCTCAGACTCCAGGCAGGAGTGCTCTGCCTCCCTCCTCATGTGGTTAATTTCTTTCCTGATTAAAGGTGATTAGGCAGCCCTAAAGCCGACAGAAATGTGACCGATGGGAACAGAGACAAACAGTCCATTCATGATCTCTTAAATCCCCCAGGCAGTATTTAGAGAGCCTTGAAGAGAGACCTGGAGCAGAACCATCCCATCACTGCCTCCGTGTTCTCCTCTCTTCCTCCACTATGTCCTTCTCTGAAGCAGAGGTGCAGAGTGCCCGTGGGGCCTGGGAAAAGATCTATGTGGATGCTGAAGACAACGGGACAGCAGTGCTGATCAGGTAAGGAAAGAGCCCATCTAACTTCTAACCCAGGGACTAGCAAGAAGGATGGAACTGCCACCTTGAAGCACATCTCAGTGTGTTTGACACAGCCTCACAGGGAACATTTTGGTTTGCTGTCAATTGTGCAACTTCAACAAGGAAATGGTACAGAGGAGTGAGCCATACAAAGAGAAGTAAGAGGAAGGGAGAAGGGGTTTGGTAAAGGAAGGAGAGACTGGAACAATTTCTTCACTCCTCCTTCCCAAACCCCAATAAAGAGTGATGTATTTATGATGAGTAAAATAATGCATGGTATAAAATAGAACAGGAAATAACGTGGACCCTATTTCCCTTTATCATTGGATGACTTTAATGACTATTTTTTTCAGGTGTATGTTCTCAACATTTCTCTTTTGATTCTTTTTCAGCCTTTCCCGTCAGAGCTCATCTGTTTCATTGTATTGTATCCCTCCTGTGGTCTTTCTGCCTTTAGTCTTCACCTTGTTTTCTTCTCCCATAATAAACACATTTCTTCTATTCACCTTTCACATACCCCTCACTCAACAGGGACTCAGATTACCTCCATACACACTGGTCACACCAAATAATCCTATTAGCACACTTCTACCATTGCCTCATATGTCACATCTTGTACCCAGCTAAGCCTCAACAGATGTGATACGCTGCTCCTTCCCACTGTTGTCAACACAACCTGAGGACAATTAGCCTCAGAAACGCAGCTAGAAATGTTAGCAGCATCCAGTCATTCAGCAGCCCAGGGTCATTCGCTGTAGAAGGTTTTGCTCTAGTTTCTCTATAGGCCCAGCTCTGCCTTTACAAGTTCTGGGCACTTCAGACAGGAGAGAGATGAGCTACTGGAGAAAATCTAGCAAAGAACCATGAGGATGATGAAGGGGCTGGAGCATTTCTTCTGCAAGGACAGGCTGAAAGAGCTGGGGCTGTTCAGCCTGGAGAGGGCTCAGGGGAGACCTTATCAATATGTACAAGTAAGTAAAGGGAGAGTGGTGCCTGGTTCCAGGACAAGAGGTAGTGAACACAAATTGGAGCACAGATGTTCCTTCTGACTATCAGGCACTTCTGCACCATGCTGGTGATGGGAGCACTGGCATGGACTGCTCAGAATTTCTATGGTTTCCCCCTTGGAGATCTCCAAGAGCCTCCTGGACACGGCCCTGGGCACTCTGCTCTGGGCGTTCTTGATGAGCAGCAGTTGGAGCAGATGGACCCAGGGATGCATAATCACCTCAACCATCCTTTGATCCCATGAATGCAATAAGGAATTTACTATTGCTGTTTCAGGTGGATGCCTAGATTACTCGACAAAGTAAACTGATTTCTTAATGGTTTGATCAAGATAACTCTCATTGACATACTGTAAAAGTCAGTTCCTTTATGAGTGGCACTGAACTACATTGCCTTTGAATAAGCAAAGTAAGCATTGCTGAGAACTCAAACAATAATCTATTACTGGCAGAAGAATTCTCAGGGACAGATTCCAGGAAGTGATTAACTAAGAAAAGTGATAGTTGGGTTTTTCCTTGAAAATAGATACTGAGACAAAAAGTGGAACCATCTGCCATCCAGAACATCCTTATGACTGTGCACTGTTGCATTTACCCTGCCCAAATGTGCTCCCATGTCCCTATAGGTTGTACTGCCGTCTAAGTCTGAGATGTTCACTTCCAAAACAGCAGAATAAATGCAGGGCAGGGGAGGCTGGCTTTCTTGGGCAGATAGCACAGCTCCAGCTGCTTTCTCAAGCAGATAACACAGTTCCCATGTTCTTCCTGGTATTAGGATGTAAAGTATCAGTTACACATCCTTACGAAAAAGTGAAACTTTGATGGAAGCCACAATAAAGTTGGCCAAACTGCTGTGAGTGAACCTCCCAGCAGATCAGAGACTCACAGCAGGGCCACTAGGTTTTAAAATGGGGAGAGGAGGAAGGTACCCTGGGGAGGCACAAGGAGGTGAGTACAAGAATCATGCATGGATGGGAAGGGAATAGAAATGCATGGAAAAGACAGGTCTGTTCTAATAAAGAAGGGAAAAGGCCAGTAAATACATAGGACAAGGCCTGGAATGTGAATTCACATCTGCATTGATGCCTCAGTCTGAAACTGAGGCCAAATCTCATTTCTCAACAGGATGTTTACCGAGCACCCAGACACCAAGTCCTACTTCACACACTTCAAAGGCATGGACAACGCCGAAGAGATGAAACAATCGGATCAGGTCAGAGGCCATGGCAAGAGGGTTTTCACTGCCATCAATGACATGGTGCAACATCTGGACAACACTGAGGCTTTTCTTGGGATACTGAACCCGCTTGGCCAGAAACATGCTACCCAGTTAAAGATTGACCCCAAAAATTTCAGGGTGAGCTATGAGTCATCTTCTCGGGAATGTGATGGGATGGTGTCTTTCCTTTGGAGGGGAAGAACTGGGGAAAATAGGCTTTGTATGTGTAAGTGTATATACAGTTCAGGGCACCGGTGGAGAAAGATGGCGGAAGATTGCTGGCATGTATCTGTAGGTAAGAAGGCCATGCAGTAGGTGCTGTGCAGGCATGTCAGCTCTGCTGGGAGCTACAGAGCTCCCCATGAATTGTAGCAGGTTTACTCAGCATAACAGGATTTCCACACACTTGTCATTTAATAAGACGACATAAAAAAGCAGCTTACATTGAAATTCAGTCCATGATGTCTGTTTTTCTCTAGTAACAGGAACTGAGCTTTCCCAGGTCAACTAAGAAGCAGTTACTGTTTTAAGCTCAAGGTTTAGATTGGATCTCAGAGGGAAGTACTTCACAGAGACAGTGGTAAGGTGCTGGCACAGGCTGCCCGGAGAGGCTGTAGATGCTCTGTCCCTGGAAGCGTTCAAGACCAGGTTGGATGGGGCCCTGGGCAGCCTTATTTTAGTACCAGATTTGGTGGCACTGCCTGTGGCAAGGGGCTTAGAACTTGTTGATCCTTGAGGTTGCTTCCAACCCAAGCCATTCTATGATTTTGACTGCTGATCAACAACAATAAGGGCACTGCCATCACTGAAGCAACCCAAATTATACATACAGGACCAAATGGTTTACCCAAGTCCACCTGAAGTCACTAGCAGAGTACACAGGTCTCTGTGTTATCTGTCCTACAATACAGAAAGTGCAAAAAGAGGCACCTTCTGTCTGACACAGGGAAGGTGGTTTCCAAAGCAGCAGATCCAATTTTTACTGAATGAGAGACTAAATGAGGATTTCTGCCTAGAAAGATGCAGAAAAGACTTACTGAGGGTAAAGATGTATACAAAACAATAAATGCAATACAGAAAAGGAATTACCACTTCACATGATACCACCTATCCAGAAACTATCAAGACACATAAATGCTCATTGTTGCAGAGCACCAGCCAGTAAATAAGCAGGATAGATTATCCCATAAGTCACCTATTACACAGGTGTTCAGCACAGTGCTCCTCAACACTTGGGCAGCTCTACCACCAGGAGGGTTGTATTGGAGGGACCGAGTGAACCAGTCTTGTAAAGCAGTCTTTAAATGGCTGTGTGTATGGGTGAAGCCAAAATTACATAGAAACAGGGTAGAAAAAAATACAGAATTCATCCCAAATTGCAGTCACTTCTGTAATGCACCTAATTTTCCACAACTTATTTTCTAATTCTGCCTGCTATACACTCCTGAATTTTGTTCTCCTTCTCTGTTCTGCAAAAATCTCAAAATATATATTTCCCTCTAATACGGAGAAAAGTTCATACTGTTTCTTCCCTTCTCCCTGTTTAGATCATCTGCGATATTATCTTGCAACTGATGGAGGAGAAATTTGGTGGAGACTGCAAAGCCTCCTTTGAGAAGGTGACCAACGAGATCTGCACTCACCTGACCAACATCTACAAAGAAGCGGGTTGGTGAGGGCAGGCGACCTTCAGGCTCTTCAGACTTCTCACCAGCACTGATTTGCTGCTTTTGGGCCTCCAGCCACAGTTGGAGAATGAAAAAGTAAAAAAATAATTTAAAGAAGGCTTATGTAATGTAGATGTTAACATCAATAATTTCCTTAGAAGATTGAGTTTCCATGGTTAAATGAAAACCACAGATGCATCAAAGCCAGCATCCTGATGAGCTTCACAGCTGCACCGCTCCAGGTGGGTTCCTCTGGGGATGGGCTCTGAAAACCACATTTGAAGACCAAGATATAAAGCTTGCCATTTCTGAAAGACTTGCTCCTTTCAGCAGCATCAGCCCAGAGAGGAACCAGCAGCCTTTACCTTGCCATCCTCATCAGTGTTGAGAAGGAAACTGCTTTCAAGCATCTCCTGGGTCATGGACTTTGCAGAGGTCATTATTTAAGAGACAAAGGAGTTGGTTTGGTTTTGAAGTACCATGATGGGAGAAGTGGGGGGAGAGTAACATCTGAAGAAGGCACAGGGAAAGCCCCATCCTGGACAAGGCAACAGCCCCCCAGCATGGGGAGAGGTGCCTTGGAGGAGTTTCCAGCACAGAGGATCCTGACACTGAACGTGGTCACCACTGGATCCCCCTGGGCAGGGGTGAATGTCTCCAGCACCTGGATTTTGCACTGTGACTCCCAGAAGATTGCTCTGGCCATGCACCCAGGGGAGGGCAACAGCACCAACCTCCTGCACAGCTTCTCCTGACACTCCAGCAGTGACCAAGTCCAGAACTGTTTAATTGCTTTTCCTTAGACATGGTGAAATCATCAGCTGATAACTGCAAATAACCACAGGCCATTCTGCTTCACTGTAACACAATAAACAAAAGGAAAGCTGGTGCGTTCTCTCATTCAGGCCCTGCTGGAGTGGCTGCTGGTACAATGAGGGGCTGCTGGTGGTACAGGGCAGGGGTAGGGGAGTTACCAACGAATATAACATCCATACAAAGGAAATTTGATCTTGTAGAGCCAAGAAAACACTTTCTGATTCAAATTATTACCTCAACAATGTAGAAATACACGTGCTACAGTTCAGTTCATCAGCTTTGCTGAGCGAACACAGAATCACAGAATGATTTTAGTCGGAAGGGACCTTTAAGATCACCCAGTTCCAATCCCCTGCTATAGGCAGGGACACCACCCTTTAGATCAGGTTGCTCAAATCCCCATCCAGCTTGGCCTTCACTTTCTAGTGCTTCCCTGAAGGCCTGTGGCAGGGGCAGCTTTGGTGAAACTCGGGGAATAGAAAGAAACGCAGGCAAATCAATACAGGCAACATCCTGCCTTAGAAGAGGGGGATGTCAGAGAAGACCTTTTCTCCTTAATGCTTCTAAAATTAATACTGAGATAATTTGCTGTCAGACTATTACCAATGCTTGGTTAATCTGATCTGCCACATCAGAGCACTTCCAGCCTGTGCAGCAGAGTGGATTTGAGCCTGTCCACAGTTACAACAGTCAGACTGCACACAGTCAGCACCAAACAAGCAATGGTTGGATAGCAATGATTTTTTTCCCCACGTGAGCCAGCAGCACCCCAGGCTGACCCACTCAATTCCTCAATGAACAGCAGAAATAGGAACCTTGCCTCCCCTATGTCAGTCTCCCTACTGATGTCTTTCCCAGTACAATTAGGAAGGCACTGGGGACCTGTCACCCCAGCAACATGAGGCAGAGGCCACAGAGGCAAAGCCACAGGAGAACTTCCTAATTGCCTGCTGATGTTCCCTGTCTGCCTACACAAGAGAAAGAGGAGAGTAAGAGGGGTGGGCGACATGCCAACATTTCTTCCTCTCTTCCCCTGTACTTCCAGCTCCTACACAATTTCCTGCTTTTGTGGGCTGGAGTGCAAGCCAGGGCTCCAGGTTCTACTGAAAAATATTCAAGAATTGCATCAACAGTTACAGTGCAAAAATGAATCAAGAAGCAAGTAGGGGAAAAAAAAGGACCAAAACAAAAAATAAATTACCATACAAAACCAATGGAAAGTCAGACAAATGCTTTTATAAGCCACTGCTTCCAGAGAAACTAACCTGTTCCACTTACTGAACTAAGGACAGTCCTGTAAATGAAGGTGTCCTGTGAAACATGGGGTGGAGAGCAGTGGAACAGGTGAGCTGTTGGTGCTGCACAGCCCTACCTGGGGTTGCACACTGCCATCACCTCTGGCACAAGGCTCATTTTGCACTTACACTTGCTTTACGCTCACTGCAACTTCATCCACTGCAAAACCCTGCAAAATGGAGTAACAAACAAGGTGCCATTTCCTGCCCTGCAGAAGCACCTTGCTGCAATACTGAAAGTTTGCCATATCCCTGGGGCAGAACTGGTCAAAACAGATAGGACAGACAAACAGATGGGACCCAGGATATACTTAAAGACAAGTAGCCCCCTCCTCTCTATTTAAAGTACACCACTAGTGCTGTCAAAACTCTTAATTACATGATGTAGCAGTTCCCTTCCATAATCATTTTGATCTTCCAGACTAAGGTAAGTCAACACCACCCCTCAACTGTCCAGCAGAATAGAGAAATAATGAAAAGCTCACGGCTTCTCCCTCCTGGATACGAAGGTAGCTCAGTTCTCACTGAAAGGTTTAAGACCATGATCTGCACAGGTGCACTTAACAAAGCAGTCTCACTGACAAATGTTCCAGCTCTACTGCATCAGAAGAGAGAACCATCAATCACCTTAACTTAGTTCTATTTCAAACCACTCTTCGGTCCTCGTTTCCAAGAGAAAGCACATTTCCACGTGCCAATCAGAACTAGTGGTGAGACTTACCTTTTATCTGCCTAATGTCTGTCTGGCACTTGAATACTGTGAAGCTACCCACCCCTGGAGATCCTATAAATAATGAAAGGCTCAGCTCCAAACACCCTTCTTTAATTAAAAAAAATAAACAAAAAGAAAGCATCTGCAAAATAGATAGCATATTATCCAGAACTTGGTAGTGAGTAGTATTTTTAATTGCAGTATGATTTTTTTCTTGCCTTTTTAAACACAGCCTCTCTGGCCTGCATGGGGAGTCCTCAGTTCTGGAATGTTTTTATTGCAGGAGTTGGTAATCCACTCATCTGCAATTCTGCTGTACAAGATGCATTTAGAAATGACTTCACCTTTGTCACACTAGCAGTGAGAACTCCATTATAATGGTGTGATAACAGATTTTAGCAAATGTTTATCAGAGGGATAACTCCAGTAATTCACATCTATCATGCAGCTGGGTAACACAAGATGTCACAACATATTCCTAGGAAGGAAACTCGCACTCAGATTTCAAGTGAGTGAATAAAAATGTGGTAAATAGGTAGCCATTGTTATTATACTGTTTCTATAGGAGCTTAAAAAGACACAAATATGCAGTGGTTGAGTACGAACCACGTTGGATACAAGTCCTTGCAGAGATGTAAAGGCCCTGCTCTAGCTCAATGCCAGCCAAAACACTGCACAATCATCTACTACTTGAGAATTATCAGCTATGTGTTCTGACCACAGTGAAAACTAAACACAGAAAAAGATACTCCAGGAGGAAATGCACAGTGAATTTATAGCTGAATAGCTAGGATTAGCTGGCCTCCAGAGGCCCTTTGATTAGGGCATATACTGTTAGAACCAGCTGAAAATGCCAATATATCATTACAAACATTGCTGCTGTTATGTAACTCAGTGGTGGCACCTCAAGGAGAATATACTAAATTCTAATTTCTTTCTTCTGTGTCAAAATAGAAGCTACCCAAGTAATTGATTTGATCCAAAGCCGTTTCAGTCTGACAGAATCCACAGCCAAGTCCTTTATGTAAAGAGACTTTGTACCTAAATCACAGAATCATAGAATCACCAAGGTTGGTTGGAAAAGACCTCCAAGATCATCCAATTCTACTGTCCACCCATCACTAATATTTCCCCACTAAACCACATCCCTCAGTACTATACTGAAATGTTTCTTGAACACCAACAGGGATTGTGACTCCACCACCCCCCTGGGCAGCCCATTCCAGTGCCAGTCCATCCTTTCAGAGAAATTTTTCCTAACATCCAACACAAATCTTCCCTACCACCAATTTGAGGCCATCCCCTCTAATCCTGCTCCTAGTTATGTGCGAGAAGAGGCCAACGCACCTCACAACAGCCTCCTTTCAGGTCACCACAGACAACTGTAAGGCTTCCCCTGAGCCTCCTCTTCTCCAGACTAAACAATCCCAGTTCCCTCAGCTGCTCCTCCTAAGACTTGTGCTCCAGACTCAATAAATCCTGCTTTTTGAAAATGAAGTCATAAAGCAGTTAGTGGCTATGCCACGATCATTTTAATTCCACGGTTTTACCTCTAATGATCTTAGAATAGTCAGGATCATACAAAGAAAGACTGCTTCTGCTAGAGCATGAATCACCTTAAGAGACCAATATATTCTCGTTAAGTTATTGGACAGTGTGATTTCCTTTTTATTTCTTTTTATTTTTGTTCTTAAGGTTTTGTTTGTTGCGCTGTTTGTAGCTGTTTTTTGTTTGTTTTAATACAATTAAAGATGTGCCATTTACACCCCACAAGAAAAAGCAGAAAGAGTCCTTATGGAAAAAAAACAAATATATTGAACACATACCAATCAAATGGTACAGATACGGGACTGGCTTTGATTTCAAAATTGAATAGAAATAAAAAAAGATGTAATGCAACAGCTGTTCAATTTCCAAGTCTAAATAGGCACTGTAAAAAGACATTTCAGCTTTCTCCAGCACACATTCCTGTCTACACGCTCCCACTGTAATCAATTCCTAGGTTCCCAAACAACAACAAAAAAATCACTGGGAACATAACCTTAGAATAAAAGTTAATATCCATCCACCCACCCTCTTACAAAAAAAGCAAACAAAAAAAAATTCCCAAGAAGTACAACCTTTCAATGCTGCTGTTTTGACTGGAGCAGAATTGGAGAATTTATAAAGGTTCAGAAGCACCCAAGGCAAGTAGTACAACGTAATTTGTTCACTAACTTGTATTGGAAAGGAGATTAAAAACATTGAGATCTGCATCTTTGTACATAAAACTGTTGTCCTGAATAAAGAGAAATCTTTCAGAAAAGTTTTACAACTTGGTGGAAGTCCAGGACCCAGCTTTAGGCATCGTAAATCAATGGGGTTTAATTCTGACTTAGTTTTAACCACTTTTATATACTGTACATCTACCCTAGTTGGATCAGTATCTCAAACTGCTCACTGGTGTCCCTTTGAACAACTGTAAACTAAACCATAGTATGCAACTCCATAGGAAGCTAGGAATCGGGTGAATATACAGCCAGTTATATCTCCCCTGCTTCACGCTCCTCTGAGCTCCTTGGGTCTTCTGATCGGCCATTAGCACTTTCATAAGAACGTTTCTTGTCTTTGAAATCTCGCGGCGATCTCTCTCTCGGGCTTCTATCTTTATCACGTGATGTTCTATCACGATCTCTTGAACGTTCTTTGTCCCGGGAAGATCTCTCTTTTGAGGACCTGAAAGCACAGTACATTTGAGAATTCTAGTTAGTCACCAATTCATAAATCCTAAACAGCATTCTGATCTAATAATTTTCTCCTTATTCCAGGCCAACATTACATTTACATGAACAGAAACGCATGAGATGACAGTGGAGTTCGTTGCACTCTCCTCCTTTCCATTTCAAAATACAAATATTGACAGAGAAAATTTCATCTACACTTATTACAGAGTTCAGAGGGTGAACATGCTTCATCTTTCATTTTCAACCCTCACTCTCAATCTTGTATTAGCACATTTTGCTAGAATTTGTCATGTCGCCTTTAGCTTGAGAAGAATTGTCTAGCATCTCTCCCACATCTATGCTACATCTTTTTTTAAAAATTACTGTGTTTAAAAATGAGAATTTAATTAAGAGAACAGAAATTAACTTGTATTGATTCTGATGAGGTTATTGCGCGACAAAGAAAAGAACGCATCTGGAGCCTGTGCTCCAACCTGATGGGTGTTTGCTTTTAGGAGAATCATTCCTTAAGTGATTTTCAAACATCAGCATGGTGTTATCTACAGATATTTTTGCTGAGTTGTAGGCATTTCCAAAACCTTTACAAAGAAGCCAGAATGAACTACTCTGTTAAACATTCCACACAGCTTAAAATTAAGTGAGCTGCCTGTATTGAAGACACTTGATTAGGTATAGCCCTCCCTTGCAGGGTTCACCTAAACTCATCACTGAAAAACATATTTTTACTCCAAGATGCCTTGAAACTGTAAATAAATAAATCAAACTCATACTTTTACAAACCAATCTCAATTATACACTATAAAGCTAGTCACTAATTCCTTAGGCAACATACCTAGTATACTGAACAGTAAACTGTGCTCTCTCTATGCCAAGAATGTTACTGTTGTTATCTCAAAGCTTCAAAACAGAAGTTTGCAGGTTGCTTTTGCACTAACCTTTCTTTTATGAGTTTACTGAGAAATTATCTTTTGTTTCAGTTTTCAAGCTAAAATGATTACTTTCATGACAGTGCAGTGCTTTGCAAAACGTAGTATTTGCAAATGGTGAGGTTCACAGACAACAATCCTATACCACAAACTACATGAGAAATAAGAAACCAAACTATGCATCACCTAAGAAGTTAATATTGTAGTTAATACTGAAGTTCCCACGTATTTTGCCCAAGTACACTGCAGAAACAAAAATGCTCCCAAACCAATTGTCTCAGACTAATTCTAGTGATTAATCTAGAATAATAAGTCACAGCATAACAATATGAAAGTTCACAGCAACTGCCTTAGCAAACAACATTATTACCTGAAGGTTTAGGAGTAAGGTACCACTCCTATCTATTTCAAGGACAAGATATTGCCTTTAGAATGAGAATCTCTGTTAGATTGGATTGTTCCTGAGCAATTGAGACAATAACTTCCCAAGCAATCAAGTAGGTACTTCGCAATAAACTCCCCCTACCTTCGCAAGACACACAGGTAGCATCTACTGTCACGTTCACCAGCTACAAATTGTGTTATAAATACATAATACTGGTTTGAGGGCAGCGTTTGTGAACACCTACATAAAGTCCAAGGACAAAAATCCTAAGTAGCTTTGGCTGTCTGGTATCGGATCTAAGAAAGCAGGGTAGCTGTGGTTTCAACACTTCTAAGAGATGAGAAATTTGACTAAATGCACAGGTCCATGTTGTTTGCTTTGTTTCCCCCCCCTTCTTTTTTCCTCTCATCTTCCTCTTTCCTCAAGAGACAGAAAATGAGAAGACTAAGCCTGCACCTCCCATTACCGTGGAGAGAAAGCACAGGGCTATAATATTCTGTTGTCCACCAGGATCTGAAGAATATTTTAAAAATATATTTTCCTAAATGCTGAGAGCTTTACATGCCTGCAGTATAGACATCTAAGCTAATCTGCCAGAATTCTTTACCAGCTGGCAAAGAAATGAGACCAATCATATCCTAACTGTCTACCTTCAGACAGAAGTGTGTCAGATGAGTCTGCAATGAGAGTCACCAGATTTACATCTGATCCAGTAACCTAAAACCAGGAGAAAAGGAATCCAATTGTATGATTTCAGATACTTTATTTGACCATACCGTGTCCACAAAGGATATTAGCCTTTGTCATACAAGCTCTTGCAAGCAAGCTCAAGCACACAGACACAGGTATCTCAGTTCACACACACCTGGATTTGCTTCCTGATTGGTCTCATCACTGAGATGAATAAGAACATCTATCATTAGCACTTCTTTATTTGTAACAAGAAGGCAAAATGCCTAGTTTGTTTCTAGTGAGAGGAATGATGATCCATTTTAGTTAGTGGGACCTTACAGCCAAAGTGAGGAAACACAGCACTGTATTTAGACCTGCTCTTGGTAAGCCTGTAATTCACACCTGGGGAGGTGTAGGGCTCTTACTATATCAGGCATGTTGCTGTGACTGTCAAACAGGTTTCTACCTTTTCAAACATTTCTACTACACCAGATACTTCAGACACATCCTACCATGCAGAAGTCTGCTCCTTAAAACGATAAATTTGAAATGAGATTCTAGCTATTAAGTGATTTAAATCTATCCACATTTGTAGGGTGAATGATGATGCAGATTAAAGAAAACATTTATCTCAAAACAAATTTCTGCATTTGTAGAATTTTCTCAAATAGCACACAAACATCCCATTGCTTTTAGAATGAAGAAGCATCTAAGAGGTGGCAGCTCTTCATTTTTTGTGAGAGGCTCTTCAGAAAATGTTTTCTGAAGAAAAGCAGACATGAAAATCCAAAGGAAGTAAATTATGGTTGCAGCAAATGCTAATCCCAGCATACTTGTATGTGATGTTATACCTATCAAAATGGGAGGGTGACTTCCAGAGGAAGCATGAAGAGTTTATCTAGCAAGTAGTTTAACTGCCTAACACACTTAAGTGTTGAAGCCAAACTAGATATGGTCACAGAATGGTTTGGATTGGAAGGGACCTTTAAGATCATCTAGTTCCAACCCCCTGCTGTAGGCAGGGACACCTCCCTCGAGACCAGGTTGCTCAAAGTCCCCATCCAGCCTGGTCTTGAATGCCCCCAGGGAGAGGGTGTCCATAACTTCTCTGGACAACCTGTTCCAGTGGTCTCCCCACCCTCACAGTGAAGAATTTCTTCCTAATATCGAGTCCAAATCTACCCTTTTCCAGTTTAAGCCATTTCCCCTTGTCCTGTTACTACATGCTCTTGTAAAAAGCCCACCCCCCCAGTATTCCTGAGAATAAAAAAATCCAGAAGCATCCAAAGAACATCTTAAAGAAAATAGCTTTAAGAACAGAACTCAGCAGTTTGCAAAAGCTTCAACAATGCTACTGATTATTTTACTACACTCCAGCCAAGCCCCCCAAAAAAATCACATGGAAGGCCTTATGTTAGTGTAAAATACCTCTCCACCCACAGAGAAATTACAACTCCACACTTCCTTCAATGGCTTTAAAGTTGATGGCACC